ACTCATCTTCATGGCTCCTATGACTGATGCTCTTTATCCTGGGGCTTCTTCCTGCCTGGCTTCCACAATGCCCCTTCCTTTAGTTTGTTACCTCACCTCGCTGGCTGCTTAGTTCTTCAATGGCTCTTCTTATTCTAAACGACAAGTATTATACCAAATGAGCAGAGCAAGTATTTCCAAGTCTTATCCATAGCCACCTTCTTCGTTGCTGGTAATCTCATTTGATGCCCTGGCTTCCGCTGCTTTAGGAAAACGCTGATGGGTCATGAGCAGAAGAGATTTTTTTTTTCTTTTTATCTGAACTCCAATCTTTTGTCTCGACACAATCTTAACCAGCTTTGAGATAACAGGTAATTCAACGAGTCCCAAACAGAGCTCACCTGCACGGCTCTGGAAGATGGCCAGGATGACCTCCAGTCTGTCCCATCTTCCGAGATCACATCCGTGAATCGAGGCAGAGGATGGGCCTGTGCGTTAGGTATAGTTGGTAATTCCTGCTTATTCCCAGCATTCCCACAATGCTCTCTGTATTCAATCATAAACATTTCTGGTGTTCTCACTGGGTGAGTCTCACAAGTTTGGACACTGGTTTCTTGTATTTGAGGAGCCTCTGAGGTTTTTAGTTTTGTTGTTATTTTTTTAAGACAGGGTCTCACTAGCTCTGGCTGTCATGGAACTCACTAAGTAGACCAGGCTGGCCTTGATCTCACCAAAAATCTGCCTACCTCTGCCTCCCAAGTACTGAGATTACAGATGAGGGCCACTCCGTTTGGCATGCCTTTGAGTTTAAAAAAAAAAATATTTTCTTTCATCATAAAGGCCCTTAATGGGCATAACCAGGGCAAGAAATGACATTTCTATTTGGGCTTGAAGTTATCTTAAGTTATCCACACTGTTTCTTCTCAGCTTCTGCACAGCCAGGTCACAGGGACCCTCATGCTGGCCGCGGGGCCCTGGAGAGGGGACTTACGCTTTTTAAAGAGTATGTGTTTCCTTCCTTATTACAGAAAGCAAGCAGGACAAAAGCAACACACAGCATGAAAATGGGTTCCTCCTCTCAGTATCAACGGGTTCTGGAATTTCTTGGTGGTTTTTCCTTTCCATAAAGATGCCAGCACCAGATCTACTGGCTTATAAGCTTTAGGTCACAATTGCGGCGATAACATTCACCTCGCAAGCTTTAAGCCAATGAGCTTCTAGAAATTTCTCACTGGGTGCAGGAAAGGAAGACAGAGTTCAGGATAGTCAATTAGCCCTTCCTCATTGTAATTTACAGATGCAAACGAGGTTAAAACGAACTGCTGTCTGAAATACAACTAACTGGCGGCCGCTTTTGAACCCACCACCTCGCGCGGTTCATAAAGAACACACAAAGCAGACCTCAGCCTCTCATCACAGGGTTCCTGGGGTTTTGTGTGTTGATGCATGTGGGGGCCAGAAGACAACAGCCTGTCTTGTTCCCTCCCACGTGGTCCTTCCTTTTTCTTTCTCTTCCTTCCTTCCTTCCTCCCTCCCTCCCTCCCTCCCTCCCTCCCTTCTTTCCTTCTCCTTCCTCTTTCTTTCTTTCTTTCTTTCTTTCTTTTCTCTTTCTCCTCTCCCTTCCTTTCCCTTCCTTCCTTCCTCCTTCCCTCCCCCCCCTTAGACAGAGTCTCTCACTGACCACCAAGTGGACTATGCATGAATGCCGCCATGCCACCACACCCGGCTTTTTACAAAGGTTTGGGGATCAAACTCAGATGAAGTCCTTAACTTCGGCTTAGATCTTACTCTATCTTTGGTCCTTTCCTTTCCAAGCCCTCCCTAGTGCTGGGAATTGGATTTAGGGCCTTACCCACACTAGGCAAACACTCCTAATGAACTCTATGTCCAGCCTCTTCCATCATTTCTTGCTGCTTGCAGGACAGCTCTGTCCACACAGGTGAACGGCTCCAGAATTCTCCCAAACAAAATGTTGAGTACCAAACTTTCCTTCCTAAATTTCCCTTTGGAAAGCCTGTTTCCTAAGTTCCTAACCATGGTTAATGTCTATCCAGTGGTCACAAGCTAGACATTTAAACTATAAAGTCACTTCTGCTAGACAGATGTGTCCCTGGAGGCAGGGACAGTTAATGATCTTCTTTACCTACTTCCTAACCCTGCATGTGTCTGGACATCTTTAGGCAAATGTCTTTGTTTGTTTTTGTTTTTTAAGATAGGGTTTCTCTATGTAACCAGCTCTTATAGACCAGGCTGGCCTCGAACTCACAGAGATCCGCCTACCTCTGCCTCCCGAGTGCCGGGATTAAAGGCGTGCGCCACCACCGCCTGGCTTAGGCAAATGCCTTAGCAAATATTTGCTGTTTGAACTATCAACTGACTGTGGATCCTTTATGCCCTACTCTGCACATTCAGTTTGAGCTGAGGTTGGGTATCTCCAACAGCGCCCTCACACCGCCTGCTACAGTCAGAGGCCCCAAAAAACCCTGTGGAGCGTCTTGAAATACTCAAGCATCCGGTCTGTGTTATTCTGGGGTATTTCCAACCTTCTTGCGCTGTTTCCCTCCTTCAAAAACTTCCGTTTCTCAGATAATCCTTGGCCCAGAGTTTCTAGGCATTGGGTTTAACTGGGATTCTCCTTGCTGTTTCTGATCTTTATTCAGCTCTTCTGCTCAACCCTAAGAGTATGGGGCTGTGTCTATCTCACACCCCACCTTGGCGGTTTAGTCCCAAAGCTGTTGGTTTATCTATTTTCTGGCTTCAACCTTGGCCTTTCAGTGTGTTGGCTGCCTTCAGAAGTCTCTGCTGCAGTCCCAGCAGTCACCCGACTCACACTGCTATCAACACAATCACCCGACGATATACTATCCTGCCGTCAACATGATCATCCCATGCGTGTCTAGAGTTTCTTCATATGTGAATATTTAAGCCGAATCTGTAGAACGTGCTCACTGGGCAGTGTTCATGTTCCTGGGTTTCAGGGATGTCTGTTTGTGGTGTGATGGATTAGCACAGGTATGTAGTAACCATTACCACATCTCAGGGGTGTGTCCCATCTGCATAGCTGGGGTGACGACTGTAGATTAAATGGAAGGCTGTTGGCCTTGTGCCAGGAAACTGTGGGTTTGCGACACCCCACCATCGCAGTTATGACTAGTTTAAGATTAGGTCATAGGCCTCACTAGGCAGAACCAGTCCTGTCTTTTTAATACGGGACCAAAGAACAAAGTGCCCCTCTCCCTTGTAAACACAAGCTTGGTCTCGGTGAAGGAAACGCCTTTTTTCCCCATCTAAAACATCGCAGTATCAAGCATGTTCTTTGGAAAAATTAGATGATTTCCATTTACGTCACCATCAATGTTAATTCTAAATGGAAATTGTCATCGGCCACCCTAAGTACTGGAATAAAGTGCTTAGCTGTCGTTGAGATAGCCTGATTCCATCGCAAAAGCTGCCTTGTGCTTTATCAGTCAAATCAATGAACGAGTTAGCTATGAACGTGGATACATACATACACACACACACACACATAAGGTGGAGCGATACAGTAGATACGGTCATGTTTTGACAGCAGAAAGACTGGCTGGAAGGGCGAGGACGGCCTTGTCAGTATTGACTGTTGATGGAAAACCGCTCTGTCAGAGTCAGGACCAGAGAGGGGAAAGCCTGCGTGTTAAATAAAACAGTGAGACCTCTGCGTGAGGACATAGAGGTCTTCACAAAGAAAGCCCCGTCTGGGAAGGACAAGAGCAGGTCCAGGGCTGGACCACAGGGGACAACTGACAACAGCAGTCAGCTTCAAAAAGTCACCGACGGCTACGCTGAGCCGGTCACTGGCAGGACCCCACCCACAGACACATTCCTTAATCACGTCCCCAAGTGCTCACGCCTAAGTGACCTGCCGAGATAGGATGCCGAAAACCATTAGCGAATGGCCTAGGATGGTACGTGGGCGCTAAACACGGCATTCTCAGCCTAAATTTATGAGGTGCAAACTTTGAATAAGAAGATGACTCAAGCCGGGCGGTGGTGGCGCACGCCTTTAATCCTAGCACTCGGGAGGCAGAGGCAGGTGGATCTCTGTGATTTCTAGGCCAGCCTGGTCTACAAGAGCTAGTTCCAGGACAGGAACCAAAAAGCTACGGAGAAACCCTGTCTCGAAAAATCCAAAAAAGAAAAAAAAAAAAGACGACGACTCACAAGGTTTCAGAATGTGTAAACACGAAGCCCCGTCTGATTTATAATGTCATGGGCTCTCACCCACAGCGAGCCTCGTGCGCTGCTCAGAAAATTGTTTGGGCTCCCAGGAAACATCAAAATGAGGCCCTCTGAGGCTGACAGAGAAGGCCGCTATGGCAGGATTCCCACCCTGAGCTGGCGTGGTCCCGTACTCCCTGCATGTAAGGCATAGGGGCCTGGCGGCAACATCCGCTGCAAATGTTTCTTTGGGATTGTGAGGAAGCAGGTTGAATGAGACCCGTAGACAGCAATTATAAAGATTAGAAAACACGGTGCTAAGAACATTGCTCGGTGACAGCGCTGGACGCAGGAGGCTCCGCGTTCAACCCTAGGACACTCAAAATGGATTTAGGTTCTGGAAACCTCAAATTGCCTCCGTGTCCAGTTCTCAGTTTCTATCGATGTTAAACTGTTTTTGCGACGCTGTGTAGGATGACCAGTTCAAAAAACCACTCTACCGAAAGTTTAGCAAAGGCAAGCGAGGTGACTGAGAACAGTCACCAAATGCCTGTCACACACCACCAGGGGACACATTCCCACCCAGGCGCCTTGGTCGGTGGCAATCAGCATGCACTCTACACAGCAATGAAAAGAGCAGGGCTGCCAACGTGGCTCAGGGTAAAGGTGCCACGCAAGCCTGCCACCTGTGTCCAATCTCGTGCCAAGAGGGGAGCCAGCTCCACCGAGCTGTCCTCCGCCCCACACACGTGGGCCATGGCCCACATGCCACTCACACATCATGCACAACACACAACAGGCACATTTTCAAAAAGAATTCATGGTCGTTTGGTTCACTCGAATATATACACTTTTATTTACCCAGGCATGGTTTTCCTTTTGAGACAGGTCTTTCTGTGTAGGCCGAACACAAAACTCACAGTGATCTTCGCCTCAGTCTTCAAGGACTGCCTAAAGCCTGACCTCCTACTGGCCCGATCAAATATTTTAAAAGTAAAAAAAGGAAACATAATAGTAGCGAGCATTTCACATAAATGCAGAGAGAAATCCTAAGGTTACTGTTATGTGATATTATTTCAAATGTTTCTCTTTGAAGGTCATACTGGATTGCTACAAACATCTCAGATTCTTTGGTTGAAGATGAACCTCCATTCTTCTACGGTGAGGCTTGGATGTAGTGGAGCTACTGGAAGAACGATCGTGGAAATTGTGACCAGAATCGGACTTCCAGGAGACCAGACTTCAAAAGGACGCTGTTGTAATGCCTAAGGATTATGTGGCCTAGCAGATGGGGAAATAGGAAGGGAAGGAGTGAGGGAGGGAGGGAAGGAGGAAGGGAGGGAAGGAAGGAAAGGGTTCTAACAACTCAATTTATAATGAAACCAGCTCTCATTTATGATTCTGTTAAAAACCGTGGTCAAAACTTGACAGACAGACAGAACACGTGTAAACCAAATGTAAAACTTAAAAACATTAAGAACTCAAACCTCTCGTTCATATTTTCTGATAAGAAACAGTGATTGTTTTTCTTCATTATCATAATCAGTAGAACCAGAATCCACGGCAGTTTGGAAGACTGAACCATTGCTCATTCAGAAATAAAAATGCTACCACAGTGTTAGCATTTGATGATTTAGGGGTTGCAAAAGTTTGTCTTGAAAGGTCACTACGGAGTCAGCTATCACCAAGGTTTCTGAGATCAATTTGGGGTTTCAACAGTCATGGGAGGATGCTTGGTTCCCGTGAAGCCCGTTGGAGACTCTCATTCCTGAGAAAGCCCACGGTTAAGAGCAAGTTAACAGGCTTAAATTTCCCTGAAACGACGCTCGCACACAGCGCGGCCAGAAGTGGGGTTTAATGATTTAAAGTATTTGCCATCGTGTCTCCTCACATTCTGAACCTTCAAAAGAAAACCAAGCACACATCACTGCAGTGAGCAGGAGCCCCTACCGTCTTTTAGTTTTCTTTGGAAGATTCAGAACACTATCAAAGCCATAAACAAAATGGTGCTGGACCAATAATACTTAGCCATCTCCAGTGCGAGATGTGTGAGCCACATACTAGGAAGGGCCTCCCAAGGTAACCAATACCTCTCTGGTCTACAGAGCGAACTCGAGGCCCGCTCAGGCAAGTTAGTAATCCTGTCTCAGAAGAAAAATGTAGAACAGATGCTGGGCCTATCACTTAGTAGTAGAACCCTGGTCCATGTGTGAGGCCTGCGTGTTCAGCCCCCAGCGTCACGGGAAGAAAAAAGATGTTACCTTGTGCCCTGACACGCTGTAGGCGAGGCGAGCGGGCAGCGTCACGGTTGATGGAAGGTTCTAGGCATAGACCCGTGAGGCACAGAAGTCTTTATTGCCACAGGAAGCAAAGTGCACTCATCTCTTCTCATCAACAGTTTTAAGAATCACAAAAAGTTCAGAATTCACACAAGAAAGATAATACAGACCTGGGGAGAAATGGTCCCTGGGGTTATATTGGCTGTAATACTGAGGTAACCAATTGACCTTGTTCAGTGAAAATATCTTAACCCAAATGAAAAAAAAAATCACTAGTTATAACATCTAATTTATATACACCGTTCAAATAAAAATATATATTATATTTGCTTTAATGTATAGCAAGTTTAATACGTTAGTGTTTATAAAATAAAAACTGTATTCTACTGAACTTTTTTATTTTTGTGCTTCTTTATCTCTAAGCTTGGAAGTCAGAAAAAAACGTTACTCAAGGAAACCTACTTCTAGAGCCAAAGATGCAGGGTCTAGGCCTCGGAGAGACAGACCAATGCCAGCTGGAAGATTTCATCTCCTAAGACCTGCATGTTAAAATCTACAATCCTGAAATGTAAGACACAAGTTTTTTGTTTTTGTTTTTTTTTAAAAACAGGACCCCATACATTTCTCAAAATAGATTACAGAATACAGGAAGTGGTTCATGAAAGTACTGGGCTACTACTGGCCAGTGCTGTGGCTAATATTAAAACCTGGACGTTCTATTCATCCGCTCTCACGCTCGCTCTCCACAAAGTGTGTGGGGAAACCACGACAATCAGCGTCGGGGTAGCACAGAGGCCGAGGTCCGTAAGAGACTTCTGCAGTGGGCAAAACGCCCTGGTCCCGTGGGAACCCGTAAGAAGGGAGAGAAGCCATCTGAAGGCCCGGAAGCTGCTTCCTGGCATCTCCTACTGTGACCCTCTTCTGCGGGTCACAAGGGAAAGCGACGGTGACAGTGGTTAGAGACTGGGGTGCAGCCATCTCAGGGGACACGCGGTCAGCGGGGGGTTCCGTAGAGCGGAGTGGGGGCCAGTGTTTATTACAGCCATGATCTACCACAGAACTAAAAACAAGACACATACGCCATGCCGATTCACCCAGGTCGCCATCTTTATCACACGGAGGGTTAACTTACTATGCCTTAATTTACTCAGCGTATTCGGAAACACCAATGTTTACGTCAGGGCTCGCAGAGTTAGCTCATTTATTTCAAGCTGTCTGTCCTGCTTTCTTACATCTCGAGCGCCTGTCATAAACCGGCTACACATTTCCCACGAACCAACATCAATTTTAATCAAGCAGTCAGTACACAGCCTCTTCCTTGGTGTAAACCGAGTAGTTGCCTTCCATCTCTCTCCCGTCACTGCCACCGTGCCCATCGCTACGTTGCTTAGGCTTTCTCCGTACGACTGCACGAGTCCGAAACGTTGATGGGGGACATTTACCGTAAATACGTTTAGACAGAGTTTCAAGTAAAAAGAATGGGTATCCACATCTATTAGACCTAAGGTTTAGACAAAAGGTTTCAACACCTAGATTTGCTTCTATAAATTACACAAGACACGTTGTACACTCTTAAATAGCAGATGCTTACAATATCGAGCCTCTCCATACGAACAACTTACAGAGAAAGGTAACGGTCAGTGTTTATTACATCGCAACGCTCTCTTGATTTCCTCCTCTGTGGCTGTTGCTTTGTCCTGGTTTCCACAGACTGTGTGAGTTCTTATGCTTTGGCTGTGATCTGTTTGAGCTGAATGAGGCAACAGTGGTTATTAAGGCTTATTCTATGATGGAGCATTATCCTTGAATCCGCTGCCGTTTGCAGAGAGCAGTGGGAGAGTCTCAGCTATCTTGGGTCTTCGGGCTCCGTCTTAATGGTTTTCTTTTCCAAGGGGAAAGCAGAGTGAGGATAGTCTTTTAAGATGCCAAGGCTCTCTGCATCCAACAGAACCAGAAAGAGTCAGGTTATTAAAGCCCCGCATCTCACAGCAAATAGTACTGACTAATAATAATTGTGAAATTCTACATGGAATTTTATTTGCAGACTCGTGGTTAAAAGCATGGGTTTTGGCTGAACATGGTAGTGATGTATTCCTAGGCCATTCCCAGGAGGCTGAGGCAGGAGGACTGCTTTAAGTTGCAGGTCAGCCTGGGCTATATGGAGAGCAGCCAGCCAGCCAGGACCACAAAACTAGACCCTGTCTTACGAAAAACAAACAAAAAAATGAAGCAAACGAAAACAAACCACAGTTCCATTTAACCCCCAACTACATCAACTGCTAGCTATAAATCAGTGAGTTACCAGCTGAACCTTCATGTCCTTACCTATAAAATGAGCAAAGTATCACCACAGAGCAGGAGGGGTAACCAGGAAATGTATATGAATAAACAGACCCTTCTAAAATGCCCACTGCACTGTGGTCAGTACCTAGAATCAAACAGGTCACATACAAATTGTCGTCGAAATACATCTTCAATTTTAAATACGAAACTACATCTAGACGTCCAATGGCATTCTAAACTGGGGAATCAAGTGGGAATAAAGAATGAAAAGTTTACTTTCCTAAGCAAAGATTCCATGGAGTTTTATTAATAGTTATTTTAACAATGGAGACCACTAAATGTGAAGTGTGGTCTTTACATAATGTACTAATACTTGGAGATACACACACACACACACACACACAAACAAACACACATATATACATTACATATGTGCAAACATGTGAACTAATACACACACATAAAGCACACACACACATCCCTTAAGAGGGCTATACAAAGGGAACCAACACACCTACCCCATGTGAACACGGGGAGATAACTCACTGTCTGCAAGCCTCTCTACACAGAAAAGGATTTAACTTGCACTGAGGGGTAGGAAGAACAACCACAGTCCTTTGATTTTTTTACCAGCGGGACGGCTCACATGCTCTTGGTTATGGCTTACAATGATCCTGTGGATACCCACTTTACAGGCAAACCTCATGAGAAGCAGGGAGAACGAACTCTGGGTCACAGGGAATGTGTGTCATTTCTACTCATTTTCCTTAAGGAAAAGATTCCTCAACGGACTGACACGCGGTACATATGAACCACACTCGGGGACAGGTCCCATGCTCAGGAGTCACTGCCCAACATGAATCAGACTTCATGGTTTTGTTGTTGTTGTTCTGTGAAGGCGTAGGAGTGGGAGTAGGTTTACTTTTTAAGATAAAAATCATGAAGTTTGCTGAGTAATGAGGTGGGGACAAAATGGAAGAAATTGTGGGAGGGGAAGGGTATGGTCAATATATTTTAGGAAATTCTCAAAAAAATAAAAAAAATTAAGACTAAACTTAAATCTTAAAAAAAGCAACAATTCTTTTTTAGGTATTGCTTTGTTCTGTTCTATGTAAAATCCCAGCTTCACTAAATCTTCATAGAGCAGAGACACTAAGGTGTCATCGTGGTGAGGCAAGAATGACCAATGTATTGCAGCATATCTTTTACGGAGGGTTTTTGAAGCAGTATGACTTTGTAGAAAACATGTTAGTTTGTTAAGAACTTGAAAGAAGAGTTGGTTTTTCATAGCGATGAGAAGAGGAGACCAATTTGCTGTCTTTTTGGGAGGGTTTCACTTGCTATCTTTGACAGTCAGGGTGAAGCAAGGACTGATGGGCATAAGGTACAGACCAGTATCTAGACGTCAAGCTTTTCTGGAAGCATCTGCTCCCAGGCACATGAACAGGAAGACGCAGACTCTCGACAGCCTTCCTAGACAATTCTTAATCCACCATCAGCTCTAAAGCCGTGTTCCCGCCGACTCAACTGTCCTATCCGCCCTCAGCTTCCCCACCTACTTAACTGTCCTATCCACTCTCAGCTTCCCCGTCCCTAAAATCAGTGACTGCGCTCAACTGATCCCTAATGTTACTTTTATTCAAAGGCTAAATGATACCAGATTCTCTTACATGGTGCTGGCATCTACTAATGGACGCTGTAAGATTCATTTTACTTGCGTAAATACCAGAAACCTTCACCCTAAAATGCTTCTGCACCAAAAGTCAGGTTCTGGTAACAAGGCTTTCTCGGCTCGAGAACGGATGCGGAGCCCACCTGTGTCCCGTCACAGAACTGTCAGCCAATAGAGCCAGTCCAACTCATCGTAACCATTATCACCCAGCTTAGACCGCCTCCAAGTTGCCACCCATACAGAGGCTAGCCAGTAGTCTCAACTCTACGACTCTACGACTCTTCCCTGTCATCCCCTATAAACACCGTAATCCTCAAAGAGGCTGGCTAACATTCTGGCGATCTATAATTTCCACTGGGGACTGACGTGTTCAGCGGGGACAGGACGGGGAGAGCAGAGCTAAGGGAACGCCATCCAGGCTTTCTCTGACAGCAGACTGCATTCTCACCTGACGAGTGGGACTTCCCCTCGCTGGAGTAAAGTCTGCTCAGCTCCCCATCGACCACAAAATGATGGGGCTGCCGGTTCTGTACGTTAGGCATTCGGAGATTCAAAGGTCTTTCCCCTAACGGAAGGAAGGAAAGGGAAACGAAGCAACGATTAAAACATTCCCAGTGGGTTTGGTTCGTTTTCTGTTGACTTTGTAGATAAAGGCTCACAAATTGCCGGAGCAGACCTTACGAAGAAAGGAACGGGTCACAAGACCCTGAAGCACGTATGCTAACTGGGAAGAGACATCTGAAATACCCACTTCCGAGGAAAATGGCGAGACCTGAATGCTAGCACCCGAAGTGTACAACCGTTGGGGTATGTAGAGCTAAGATGAATCTAACAGGAGAGGGACATTTCCAGACACCGTCAAGCACTGTAAACACAGCTCCCTTGTAGCCATTTTCCTGAACGCTGGGACCATGTACCCAAGCATGCTGTTACCAAACCACACAGGTAAAAAGAGAGCCAGAGACGCCTTCAGGCCAATTAGAGTTTTGTTCTGTTTTTAAGCACAATCCGTGGAAAAATAATTAGCAAAATGCTTTATAAATTATTACGTTATCATCACAGAAAATTGATATCCCACTATAAGCCACTCTAGGGTCATAAACTCAGCTCCATCAAATCTTTCTTAATTGTGTTTGCTTAACTGTTAGTTCTTAGCTACTAAGAAGGGTCAGAGAAGTTAAAGAAGACCTCAGCTAACACATTTTTGTCATGTTTTAGAAAGAAAATCTTTCTTTTACTCTTGTGTCATGATCTAGGGGGCAATATTTCATCCCATCGCTAGAGAACGCTTGCTAACATGCTATTCTTGTTTGGATGGGGAAAAAAAAATCCTTGGCAAGACACATCATACAAGGGATCAATATCTAGGACATATAAGGGAGTGCAGAAATTAGTCACGAAAACCGCTAACCTTCCAATTAGTAACTGTATTAATGAAATGATTAGATAACTCTGAAAAAAAAAGAAATACACATGCATGCTCCCCAAATATTTGAAAACCTGCCCAACATTCTCGGCTATCACATAAAAACATACTAAAATTAAAATTGCTTTGATATTCTCTTCACCCCAGTTAGGATGGCTAACATTGAGAAAACAGAAGCCAACCAATGCCAGAGGGGATGCGGCGGGGCAAGAAGATCCCTACTCCTGCCTGGTGAGAGCCTACACTGGTACTGCCACACCAATGGAAACCAGCGGGGAGGGGTCTCAAAACCCAACACGACGGCCACATAATCTAGCTATATCACTCCTGTGTATACACCTGCCAGGATGGCAGAAATTCTGCCACTGAGATATGCACACGCTTGGTTATTGCTGCACGGCTCGTAATAGCTGAGGCAACAGCCGGGCCCAGATGTTCACCAGCGGATTAACGGTAAGGACCACGAGGCACAGATGCGCACAGAGTTGTGTTCATCCACAAAGAAGAGCAAAATGACAACCCTTGCAGGAACGCAGATGGAATGGGAATCATTATATATTATGAAGTGAAATAAACCACATTCAGAAAGACAAACAACACATTTTCTTTTGTACGTTGAACCTAGTGTGTGTGTGTGTGTGTGTGTGTGTGTGTGTGAGACGAAACTAGAAAGACTAGAAAGGGGACAATGAGCTGGGAAGAAGGGATTTTAGGGGAGGGCGAGGGGAGAAGAGGGTAATGCCATACACGTGACATGAAAGGGGGTGTGGGAGGGAGGAAGGCACTGGGGGAGTAGGGTAAATAAGAACACCATCTTCCCAAAATGCCTCATCAAAACCTGTTCCTTTATATGGACTTGAACCATCTTTTAAAAGATGGGTTCTAGCCGGGCGGTGGTAGCGCACGCCTTTAATCCCAGCACTCGGGAGGCAGAGGCAGGCGGATCTCTGTGAGTTCGAGACCAGCCTGGTCTACAGAGCTAGTTCCAGGACAGGCTCCAAAACCACAGAGAAACCCTGTCTTGAAAAACCAATAAATAAATAAATAAAAGAAAAGATGGATTCTTACATGAGGAGTTACCAGCAGTGGTAACCACTTGCTAGAAAGTGAACACTACATAAAACAAGACAACTTGGAAACACTGTTTTCCTTCAACATACTATACGGTGATATTTGAAACTGCAGGACCTATTTACAGGTTGACACGGCATGCTTCTCTACTCGAAGCTAAGCTGCACATGAACAAGGATGGGTATCTTTTGAGTTGCTATGCCTTCTGGGCTTAGAGGCATGCCTGGCATACAGAAAACCACTTCAAAAAATCCTCTGAACAAAGGGATAACAATGACTTGGGATTGTCTTCATGCTGGAGACATGAGAAAAGTAAAAGAATTTCCACTGTGAAAATACTCACAATCCACCGGGCTCTCTGACATGGACTGGTGTTCTGCGTGTTTTAGAGATAACCAAGTCTTCTTAGGAAATAAATACTACTATATTTTGGACAAATTGGTTTTTGAAATTTAAAGAAAGATGTTTTGATCATTTTGAAAAGGCGAGGGTGTACCTCAGTGGAAGGTCCTAGATTCAATGCCTGGCAAAACAAGGGAACAGAGTCCATCTAAGTATGGTCTTTGATGGGAACTGTTTCTTTGAGAAGTGGCCTAATTGTTCGCATCTGCATCCTGACTAAGCCTCTCCAAGACACATGTGCAAACTATAATACAGGAATAATAAAACTTGAGGACTTCAGAAACGAAGGTAAACAGGATGAATAATTTCCTTTGAAAAGGAACTAGCTAAAACAGATTTTCACAGAGATAAAGTAATCCCCTCACAATATTGATTTAGCTCTAATCCATCCTCCTCCCCCTTTCTCTTGGAAAGGCGCATGGCGCTGACTCTGGAGGCCAGGTCACCGCCGCCGAGGCCCACCTTGTCCATCAGAGCCATCGGAGGGCAGACCGTCTGGGCTGCGCTCTCCGGAGCTCTGCCTGTAGAGCCCTGCCGCCAGTCTCCTCTCCTGCTGCAGCCTCTCGTAGCCGGCCTGGGCACACAGGAGCTCCATCTGCTTGGCCATCCCCTTCTCAGCCTGCTAGAAAATAAAGCCGAAACAAAACCAGTAACTGCAGCGGTCTAGATTTCCTAACGGCTTAAAGACGCCAATTTGAGACGCCAGCAAATGTATTTAGTATTTATTAAAATGATATCACACTTTCTATGGTATGCTTGTCTCCCTAAATAGGAATAAATGTCTGTGTCCTGTAAGATATTGAGCTTCAAAAGGTTTCTCTTCTGTCCCATAAAGAGAGTCCCATGTAAGCTCAGAAACAATAGAACTTTCACCCTTCACTTTGTTTTCCAAGATCCTGGGTCTTTTAAAGGATTTCCCTTTCTTCAAAAAAAAAAAAAAAATACCCAAGAGCACCAGCAACATCTGCTATCACCTACTTTGAACATAGGGTGAAATTCTGGCATTTTATTTTAGGATTTGGCGCTACCCAGACTCCTGCTTGGAGGAGAGAAAGTGTAAAAACGCCCGTCTAGAAGAACAAGACAGACACACCTCCCACCAAAATTAAACAATGCAGAGTATGCAGAGAGGCCTCCTTGCCAGCAAGGCTCTCTGCCTCCGCCCAGACAGAAGCAGCAGCGCCCCAGCCAGCACAGAGGGACATGTTTAAAACACAAGGCTGGTGTGTGACACAGGAAGTCGTATCCGCATGAGTTTCAAAGCCCCTTTCTCAGGCACTGTTCTAATTGACTTGCGAGTGATATTCAAAGTAGTGTATCTACGACATTTGCCAAGGAAGCCATAGTCAAAATGCAGAAGTGATTCATGACCATGTTACATAAAAGCACTATAAGGATTCTGCTATGTAAAATTGGTTACCAAAGCCATGATTCACAATTTTAAAAATCAATAGATGGAGCACATAATGAATTAGGTAACCAGGAAGACTGTCCACGCTTTTCTAAACGTGCACAAACCAAGCCGAAGGTAACAATAACTTCATTTCACTTGCAATGTCAGCCGGTGAACAGTCTGACATTTCAGCAGGTAGCTTCGCGCGGGAAGAGGCAAGGGATCCCTCTGTCTCCCTGGGACAAGTTTGGCAATACTACAGGGATACAAACATCCCCGGGGTCAACAAGGGGCAGTCACACACGGACTTTGGAAATACCTGTTTCTGAGTACATACAGAGTTAACAATTTACTAGAATTTGGGAGCAGGGGGAGGGTTCGTGCAGCACAGCGCTAGCTGAACAAGCCTGAGAAGCCATATTCAAACCCGGGCATGCACTACGATCCCAGCACTGGGGAGGCAGAGATGGGTGGATCCCTGGGGCTTAGCAGGCAGTAAACAAGATCCCACCTCAAAAAACCAAGGTGGGTGGATCCTGAGGAAGGACACTCACGGCTTTCCTCTGGCCTCCACAGACAGGTGTGCACACAAACATGCGCCCCTCACATATATACAGAAATCAGTAAGCTACCCCACTAATTTAACAATCCTTCAGTAAGGCTTGAAATGAGGTAAGAGTCACAATGTTGACAATATGTTACTGAGATCTTGTGTGATTTCACCTCAGAATTGTGCTGTACACGGTCATGGTGAGACTGGCTGCTTCCCCGCAATGCTACAAGAATGTCTTATTTCCTCTAAGAAAGGAATATATTACCAGACTTTGTTCATGAACCAAACGAAACCCAGCTGTTTCCGCCACCTTACCGAGATGGCTGCGGAGAAGACATTTTAACAATAACCAGAAACAAACTCAACCCTCTAAAACCTCAACGTGAAGCCGGCTGAAGCGGCCCCCTCTCTTCCAGCCTACAGCCGTCTCCCCCAAGGCATCCACTGTGGGGTTACCTGAGTACTGAGCGCCGCAAGCTCCTCGCTCTTGGCTCTGGCCTGCTGGAAGAGCGTCTGCACAGATTCCTGGAAATCTGGAAATCCGTCCTGCGGGGCAGATCACAGGGCCTGGGTGTTTAGACTTTGTTAGCACACAAAGAAAAATAACACTGCTGTGGTAAATGATCTAATGCGGCTGTAGAGTGCGTGGGTCATCGGCTACCACGCCTCACTCGCTACAGTCGGCCACGGGTGAACAAGATGGGAAACGCCAGCCATCATCACGGCCACCAGCACTGCCAAGGGGACTCTGGTTTTATGAAGCGCTGGGAACTATTTCCATGGAAACAGTACTTTCCTATGGGTTCAATGAGCCAGTAGGAAAACCATCATGAGGAAGAAGGAACCTTCATCAGGACATCCTCTGCCACCATTTGCGGTGATTCCAAACCTTCCTAATAACGCGACCCTTTAACACGGTTCCTCAGGTTGTGGTAACCCTCACCTATAAAATTGTCATCATGGCTACTTCACAGCTGTAATTTCACTACTGTTGTAAATCATAATGTAAGTATCTGTTTTTTTTAAAATATTTATTTATTTATTTATTATGTATACAATATTCTGTCTGTGTGTCTGCCTGCAGGCCAGAAGAGGGCACCAGATCTCATTACAGATGGTTGTGAGCCACCATGTGGTTGCCAGGAATTGAACTCAGAACCTTTGGAAGAGCGGGCAATGCTCTTAACCACTGAGCCATCTTTCCAGCCCCAAGTATCTGTTATCTTATGGTTCACAGCATTTTCTACTTAGCCTCAGAAACGATGCTTGGTTTCCTGCAGTCCACAGTTGCAGACACTTGCTCCGAGCCTAGGTTCAACCCATACACTCCTCACATGAAGACATCTTGGAAACACCATCCTTACAGCTGGGGTTGTCCCTGGTATGAAACCTAATCCTATTGTTCTTGCTGCTATGCAAAGCAGACCATTTTGTCCCGGGTATACTGCTCCATCTGTAGGAGGGATGCTCTGGCAGTCGTGAGGCTAATTTATATCATCATTTTCAGAGGAACAAAAACGCATAGAAAATACTCAGGTCAGTGTTTGGCACATAGGAATTATACATGAAATTCCTTTTTTTTTTTTTTTTTTTGGCCATTTAGACAATCCAAGTAAAAAGCTACTGGGCTTAATCAAAATAAAACAGCCCAATGTAGGTGACATACCATTCCAGTTATATAGAGGGTGGGGGAACATGTTTTAGAGATATTTACACAGTATAGCTATACGAGGATGAGTGGGTGATGTGGGAGTTCCCTCTGCGTGCTGTGATTACCATTAATGAATAAAGAAACTGTTTTGGACCTATAGCAAGGCAGAACTTAGGTAGGCAGGGAAAAATAAACTGAATGCTGGGAGAAAGAAGGGCGGAGTCAGAAAGAAGGCATGGAGCCACCACTGGAGACAGAAGCTGAAAACCTTACCTGGTAAGCCACAGTCATATAGCAATATACAGATGAATAGAAATGGGTTAAATTAATATGTAAGAGTTAGCCAATAAGAAGCTAGAGATAATGGGTCAAGCAATGATTTAAATAATATGGTTTCTGTGCGATTATTTTGGGTCTAAGCTAGCCGGGCGGTCAGGAACCAACAAGCAGCGAGTGGCTCCTTGCAACAAGTGGGAACTACAAACTCTATAACCAGCAAGAAAGTCCTGGGTATGGGCAGGGGTGCACACTGGTGGAAAACACTGGTGGAAAACACAGGGGAAATCCAGAAACACCTATTGGACAGAGACCCAGAACACCCAGGAGGCTCCCTGGAGGGCCTGGAGCTTAAGAGATGAGAGCGCTTCAGGAAAAGATGGTGACTCGCGTAGAGGCCTGAAGGCGAACCTGCCAGGCTGCACAGCACCGGTTTACTGTGGCTTCTGTAAGACAAGCCGTAAGGGAGAGAGCGGCAGGAAGGCTAGAAACTCACAGCTGGATTCTGTGGGGCCCGAGCAACATCTGAACCTCATCTCAAACGGAGTAAATATTCTCCTTCCTATAGAGGAAGCCACCGACAGACACGCCCCAAAGACCTGATTAAGGCCACACGACGCACAGCTGAGATTAGCTGATGCCTATGCTGAAGACAGAGCAGAGGTCTGGCACTACGTGGAACTTCCGCTTCAAGCAAGGCTGCAGGGCCAGGCATCGCTTAAGAGAGAACTAGAGATTGGTTGGATTCAGTCAAGAGGCAAGACTTCCTGCACACAAACCAGGCACAGGGAGTCTGAATGAAGGGGTGAGGTCGGGACTGGAGACTCCAGTTACCAGCTCAGCAGCAGGCTGTGGGTGGAGCTGCTCATGCCCCGGACGCCCCCACATCTCAAACGCTGTTGGAGGAGGCTTGTGAAGGAGGAAGAAGCTAGCCGGTCTTCTGCAAGGACCAGATGTGTGGTCTCAGCAAGTCAACCTCATTATTCTCGGCGTTTCCAATGTTTCCACAGAGATTACATTACCTGTTTGGCGGGCTCAGGGGGGAAGAGCTATGGGCATTAAATGAACTAATGCAGATGGCAAATCTTGGCAGAGAGCGCCATCATGGTCAGGACTGTTCAGCCATGAGAATAATACCGCAAGGCTGGGTAGGGGCCCTCAAAATGCAGAGAAAGCTTTCTGGGAAGCGGGTAGTGCTTTGTCCTGAACAATGAGAAAGAAGCTATCTGGAATGTGTGAGGAGAAATGAAAGGGAGAAGCCTCCCCCTCCCCCCCCACACACACACTGGCGCACTGGTAGAGGAGCCTTGGTCCTTGGTCTCCTTCTCTGGGTTTGGCTCAGGACTTCCTCTGAGTCTCTACAGCTGTCTTTCCAGGCACCAGCTGTACCATGCTAGGAGCCATTTATCTCCCTGTCACATTGCTGGCTGCTGCCATAATTCACAGCGTTCCCTTGGTGACGAGACTCCGGGCCTCAGCACTGAGAGAATAATATCTACGTTTGGAAGGCTGTTCCTGCCCTAATTAGCCTCACCGCTTCCGTCGACGCCCTCACGGGTCTCCATCTCTCCCGCCAAGCACCAGCGGGGCTGTTGGAAGCACTGCCCAGCTGTCTTGGAGTGACGTGGGGCGGCAGATGTTCCTAACCCCGTTGTGTTTCCCCCTTTTCTCTATTCACGCTTCCTGGACGAAGAGCAGATTGCATGGCTTCTGTCTATACTTCAGGCTCGCCAGCTTTCTTTCCAGAAGCGCGGCCACCGTGTAGGTGTAGGTGGGCATGCTGACCCCGGCCCCGCCGGGCCCCCTGGAGCGGTGGGCAGCTGTTTCCGGACCCAGTTCTCTGACTTTCTGGGCTCCGCTAAGAAATTCAAATTCATTCCACTCAGCTGCTTCTGTACTCTCCTCCACAGGGACGGGGTATCTCTGCCCTTTTCCTAGCAGCTCTGGTGGAAGAAAACTAACAGGGAAAAGATGCACAGCAGAGAGTCCATCCACGCAGTCGGTGGCCATCAAGGGTGGGGACTGTGCTCCGCCTCCCTGTCTAAGAAGCTCCGGTGACTCTGTCAGTACTGGAGATAATGATAGTTTGTCCAGGGAACCTCACGTGTTCTTAAACCAGGAAGAAATGCTACCAACCAACTCTAGTTTTAACCAGTATTTTATAGTTTAAATCAGGCCAGGGATTCTGGCTCCTGACTCTTCATATTCTATGGTTGGCTGTCAAGCCATCTTACCCTGTTCACAGGCAGAGCATAAATAAATCAGACTGACTTTTACAGGTATACTCTATCTCCCCAACATACCTTCTGAACTCATTCTAAGCAGGCGGAGTATTACACGGTGCTCCCTTCGATATAAATATATTCTGTGGCTATCATTTTCTACTGAAAAGTTACAGCTGTTTCCCAGTCATCCTTGGATTAGGAAACAGTAACGGCCATTCCTCTTCTTCAGAGACCACCAGTTCCGTACACGTTCCCTTTACAAACACGGACAGGGCAGTTCTAAGCCCAACGGAGCTTTCCTGCGCCGTTGAGGTGTTCTGCGAGGGCTCATCGCCACCCAGAAAGGTACTGCCTAAGGCTCAGGTGTAAGACACAGGCTGGAAACCCCGACGCTGGCCCCTGGACAGCAACATGGCAACTCTGGGTCCACCGTGGCTGTCAAGCAGACGTCATAAATGCTTGTATGCACACAAGAAGGTTTGTCACAGATGTCAGGCATATGACAGCCTGAATTAGAAAACCATCATTGTTACGACTGTCCCGCAGCTAGGTGCTCCGGGGTCCCTAGTGAAAAATAAGAACATGAACACACAATTCATTCTCAGTTTAGCTAAAGGTGGGCTGGCTTCATGCAGCTGCTGACTGCTGCAGGTGTTTCCAAGCCTGACTTTCTAACTCGCAGGGCTTGGGGAGGGGCTTTCCCTGGAGGCCCACTTCCCTGGTGCCCCCTCCCCCCTAGGCTCACCTAGGTGGGAAGGGTCTCTCTCTCTGTAATTATCTCATTTAATCTCAAAATTGAAGAAATAAGGCTCAAACTCTACATATTTTAATGTCTCCCATACCTTGTAAGGCAGCATACCAGCGAAGGACAAGAGATAGATAGGTCTACAGAGAGTATGTTTATGCCTGCGAAAAATCTAATACGGCTTTTGTTATGGGATGACACTATGTTCTCCGGGGAGGAAAGTCGGGGTATGAGTATTTAAGATTTATTCCACCCGACCCTTCATGTGCAGATCAGGACCCAGGAGTCAGCAATAAGTACGGATCTGACTGCGCCTGTACACAGCACCATCTGACGTGGCACCCCGAGACACTGATAACGGCAGCAGAACCGCTTCCTCCCTTAGCACGTCAAATTCCTCTGATGTCACTTTTATCTGCCGGACATCACACTTTTGTCCTTGTCGTTCACTGCAGAAATAGTCTGTTTATAAAACACGGGAATGAAGGAACAACTTGCGCGTGCGCTTCCTGGTGGCTGGAGGAGATTTTGGAACTGAGGGAGGGAGAGAAGTAGCTGCTGCATTACTTTGGGCTTAAGCAACTAGGACTCTGTCCACCGTCTATTTTTATGATACTATCTTCAAATAAGGAATAAATTGAGAAGCACAAAGAAGTTGGCTAACGTGAAGGTAGAAGAGGCTCCAAGAGTTCTAAAGCCTCTCTGGTTTCAGGTTTCATTATGAGGTCCCCTGCATCAGCCACGCCTCTAGACAATTCTATCTACTGTTTTTCTGAGCATGTCTCCCCCATGCCGGTTGGTCTTTACAATGCCACCCTGAATACCCACTGGCATTCCTACCTTCTTTAAAACCAGCTCAGATGACACCTCCCTAGGTGGCCCCATTCATACGTTATCCTATGCCACAGCCTCCCTCTCCGAGTTGCCTGTGGAAGACAGGCTCTCCCAAGGCATCACTACTCAGTGAAGTGTTACAGGAAGCAGATCCATGACAGTCGGTCCTCCCCATCCCAGGGCAGCTTCCAGAAGCACAGGGGCAGAGACAACCCCTAACCATGACTTAGAGCAGAACCAGGCTAGGACAATGCCGGACCACAGACCGTGAAACACGTCACGACACACACACCGTGTGTGTGCACAGGACACACCGAAGAGGCTGACGACAATTCCTCAGTGCCTTTACAAAACTAAGCAAAATGAACAACAATGAGAAATGGTAAAAAGTGAATCACCGTCCTAAATTCAAGCTAAGGTCTCCACTTGTTTCTAGGAACAAATTAGGAGTCTAGTGTTCATGCGAGCTCTATCTAAAGAGAGTTGAGCTAGTTAGTCACTGGGCTTATTGGGAAGGATTAGAACTTTCACAGGAAAAGGCAATACTGATCATTTTAAGCCTGAACAGAAAACTATTCAAGTGTCTTTGTGACCCTAAAAAAAATGATGAGCCCACCAAACAGAACTATCCAGCTAAATTATCTCCAGTGAGATGTCTTTCAAGGAATTGAAATTTCACAGATAATGCAATTACCCAATACTCAAGTTTCTCATGATAAACTGTAGGAAGAAGTTTCAGCTCAGGGACACTGTGAGGGTCAAGAAACAGTGGCAGCTCCAATCAGCCATGACCGCACATTTCAGCGTGGAACAGTTGGGCTGACATGAAGAGCACACCGAGTCGTAACCACATCGAGGTCCCGTGCTGAAAGGAGACACGGGTAGGCCTCTCTCTCTGCAGCAGCTATGGCTAGGGGTGTGAACGGCCCAACAGCACATACCGGGCAGGGTCTGTGTTCACCTGTTCCCCCTCAGTAGCAGCGGCAAGCCAAACCTACAAGGATCTTCTCCAGGCCCTTACCTTGGTGTGCCTGGAGACACAGCCTGTTAGACAATGTCAACAGACCTCCCGAGTGGTTCCTGAGGCTAGCCCATCTCCAAGAGTTCTCTACAGTGAACACCAGGCCAAGACGACAAACAAGGAGCATGACTTAAAAGAGAACTGTCCCTTGGGAACAGAACACTCGTCCGAGAACTTTCCCTTGAGGGCAAAGCTTTGAGAAATTGAAGCTACTTCTCCACAGTCCCTCACTGTCTTATCCGAGCTGCTACTCATGCCTGTCCCCCAGGCAAGAACCCTGCTCATCTCCAGCAGGGCAGACTGGCCCCGAATTAAACATAAACATCCTAGAGTTCCAAGTAATCGTACGTGCTAGGAAAAAAAGTTGGCCAACGTTAGAGCCTGATTTGGGGTACACAAGCCCCATCCCCTGAACTGGAGGCGAGAGAGTCAGAAAGCTCAGGCATAAACCAGGGACGGGCAGCAAACGCCACGCACAGGGAGCCCGGTAAGCACCAGCCGTGGCCTTTGTCAGTCTGTGCAGGTGGAAGAGTGGGAGGAGCAACGGGAGGCAGCCAAGAGCAGAAGCCCAATTATGAGGGCCACAGATCTGTGTAGTAAGGAGGTCGCTTGTTTGGTTCCAGGCCGCCCGGGTAGCTTAGACCCAAAATAATCACACAGAAACTGTATTAATTAAACCACTGTTTGGCCCATTAGCTCTAGCTTCCTATTGGTTAACTCTTACATCTTAATTTAACCCATTTCTATTAATCTGTGTATCACCATGTGGCAGTGGCTTACAGGCAAAGTTTCAGCATGTCTGACTCTGGCGGAGGATCCATGGCTTCCCCCTGCCTCTGCGTTCTTCCTCCCAGCATTCAGTCCAGTTTTCCCTGCCTAAGTTCTGCCCTATCAACAGGCCAAGGCAGTTTTCTTTACTCATTAACCAATAAAAGCAACACACAGACAGAAGGACCTCCTACACCAGATCTGGGAGGGTTTAAGCAATTAAAAATTATGTTTTCACAAAGATAATTCTGGCTTGGTAGCAATAAAGGACTCTGCCACACAGACAGGCAAGGATAACACAGTAATGGAAAGTCTGTTTTCAAATATCTGAAGAGAGCTATGCTTTTCTTGCTCAATTTCCACACCTTACCATTTACAAGTTAAAATTACAATAACAGTCTCAACCAGGGTCGCTTGAGAAACGTTTGAAGTACCGTGATGTTTCCACAACTGTCAGTTCCTTCAGAAAATACAAAGTGCTGCATTCGGCTCCTGAGCGACTTGCAGCAAGATGGTAAGAAAAGCCATTTGACCAGTGAAGACTTACAAGTCTATAAGACACTGATCACTAAACCAACCACGGATAAACCAGCTATCAATCTAGTCAATAACAGTTTCCTTTTAAGAATCTCCTGGGGGGAACAGGGAGAGACCGGACAGATGGCTCAGTGGCTCAGCACACTGGCTGCTCTTGAAGGACCTGGGATCAATTCCCAGCAACCCCATGGTAGCTCACAACTCTCCAGTGCTAGGAGATCCAATGCCCTTGTCTGGCCCACATGGGCCCTGCACACGTGTGATGCATAGACATACATGCAGCAAACCACCCACACACCTAAACAGAAATAATAAAGTCTAAAAAAACATTTAAAAAAAAACAATCTTGGTTTGCTCACTGAGATTACCACAGGTACTTCAGGGTAACAAAATTCTATATTGCCTTTAAGATTCTGTAATTTTTGTTTGTTTGTTTACTACATGGCAGGGCCACTTTTTTTTGTCTGAACTAAGAAGATCTTACATTATTTTGGGTGATCTTATACACGAAGCAAAGCTTATTAGCACACACATAGATTCCATGCAGCCATACCTCCACTTTAATTCTCTTCGGAGACAATTCTTCTCGCTCGCCACATTTTAGCCTGCAGGGAAGGGAGAAAGAAAGAGAAAGCTTGAGACCGCAGCAAACTTCATTCCCGAATGAGCTCGGTCTGAAACGCTCCCGAGGAGTATTTACTTCTGAAACGACAACATGAGAAATGACATACAGTAACCATTGACATAATCGAAGAAGACACAGTCTCATCGTTTCCAAGTCAGTATTAGGGGATATCTAAGTAATATTAAATATTGTAAACTCGAGAACTCTACCAGAGAGAGCAGTGTTTCATGACAATATAACAGAAAAAAAAACAAAGAAAAGGGAAAAAATATTCAAGGGATATGTGTCTCTAAGAGTTCAGCAGCAACCATTTAAGGTAACACGATAAAAATGGTCATTTGAAACAAAGGCCACGAGGCGTATGAAATAAGATGGGCCATGCCTATCTCTCGACACCTCAGACATTGTTGCTTGACTCGGTCTCCCTTCTGGGAGCTATCCCAGGTCACACTAGCATACGTAGGCTATAGTGCCCGTCAGCACTAGGGCATCCCATGCTTCAAGGCTTCACCTTGATGTATTCTCGCCAACTAAATTATGAGAAGTCAATCTAACTTATATGTAAAAAAAAAAAAAAAGCCCTAAAATGTAAAAAGTGTATCTTGGAATAGGCAAAACACAACTTTACTTATTGTGGCATTATTTCCAATAACCAAACATTACAAACAGGAATCCACCCAAGAAGGGGACTGTGCCAGGACGATCTCGTCTTCTTACACACCAGCAAAGGAACCAGCTTCCTCACGGCCACCACCAAGCCCGGCTGTCCGTGAGTGTGTCCATGTGTCCTCAGCTTCACACTCAAAGCAAAGGTCTGCGTGAGAGAATGTCTACCTGTGGCCAGAACACTACAGCCTTAGAGACCGAATCTTTCAGACGTGGAGACACAGAGGAGGATTACACAAAATCAAAACCTGCTGTTAAGATCAGAAGGCCCAGTGGCCACCACGTAGTGGGCTGCTGTGGACACATTACATACAGTTTATTTCAAAACCCAGAGAAAGGTTTCAGGATGTCTTCATTAAGAACACATGATTAGTGCTTGAATGAGTAGATTTAACAACCGATTTCAACATCATACAATGCATACATGTATTCCAATACCAAATGGTATCCATTGATACAGATACTTTTAATGTTTTTAAGAGCCAGTTAAAAATAATTTAATTAAAAAAAATTCTTTGAACAATGTTTTGAAAAGTGACTTAGCACTGTTTAATTCTGTATTAATCATATCTTACCTTTTCTGGAACACTCATATGTTAACCATGAACAATGTCTCAAACTCTGTTCCTACCCAGTGTGCAAATGCGCCATCCTCGACGTACCTGGTGGTCCTGTAAGTGTATTTGTAGGTGACTTCTCGAGAAACCTGTCTAGCCAGGGCGAAAAGTTCATCTCTTCTCGTCAGCAGGGCGTTGTCCTTCACACAAAGCTGGGCGGCCGCTTCGTTAACAGTGAGCTGAGCATCCAAAAATAAATAAATAATAAATAAATAAACATATCTATCTCACTAGATAATGGAATGCTTCACTTAAGGTGAAAAATTCACATCATTACGGGAAGAAGTAACTCAGAGAGCTCCATTATCCCCGTGTCAGACTGCAGAAGGGGCAGCTGGCTTTGTCTTCTGGAGACCAACCAATTCGACATAATTACCTTGTTTTTACCTACTTGCATTTACATATTCTGTATTTTTGACTAGGCAGCTTATGAATGATAAAGAAATATTCTACATCTTATTTCTCCTATGGAAGAAACCCTACAAAATTGATTTTTGAAATGGTGACAATCTTTCCTCAGTTAAACATATACGCAGCTGGCTGAATTTCTCACCTGAGCGGACATGAAAACTCCTAATGCAGAACTCATCAGATTAATTTCAACAGCACCGTGGTGAAGAGTCAGTACGGCACAGGAGAAGTGACGCCGCAGAGACTAACTTTCTATATCGACTCGATTCAGTAATTCTGAAAATACTGCCAGCATCATCGCTGGCTGGTCAGACACCTGTGCTTGAAACTTCAAACGGCACAGGAACTTGCTAACAAATCTGCATGTCCTCCAGAGTTCTGCCAAGCTGATGCAGGGAGCTACTGGCGGATAAGCCACACTTCTTCCAGAAAGCAAGAGACGTTCTCCATCACAGTGTGGGCAGTGGCAGGAAGGAGGGCTTGGTGCCAGCCAGACCCGGCGTTAATTCTGTGCCACCCACCGCTCATGGCGGGTGCGTCTGGACAACAAAAGGCTCTGTCTCCAGCCTCGGGGAGACAGCACCCCTCGAAGGCTCTCACAGGAGGTTTGAGAGGTGTTTGGTTCTCGTTTTTGCTTTAATTAGAAAGTTCAGGCATTCACCTTTTCTCTCTCCCCTGGCATCTCACCCTCATTGCTAATAACTTCTCTTATTTCTCTGCACTAAAACCTTTAGAGTCCTTTTCCATTTATGCAAATCTGTTCCTTTTATGTTTTTCCATGGTTTATGACGAAAAGTTGGTATGTTTACATCGGCACCTGATACGGGTTCTATGCACAGGGAATATTGTTGACTCATCACTGGATTTTAAAATCCTTTATTTTTATTTTTGCTACACACACCCAAGCCATTCCGGGAGGAACAATATATTCTTTAGCCCAGCCTCACCTAGGCAACCCCCGTCCCTCACGTATTACAGCAGAAAAACACATTCATAAATGTTCATCTTTGCATGCATATCTAATAGTTTACTTGGCATAAACTCCAACAAATGGACTTGTTGGATCATAGAACATACTAAGTTTTAATAAAATTTTTTTAAAGATTGATCTCTATTTATACGTGCCTGTCTTGAGTATACGTCACATGTGTGCAGAGGCCCGAAGAGGCCAAAAGAGGGTGTAAGGTCCCCTTAAGTTGAGAGCTGCCAGACATGGGTGCTGGGAACTAGACTCAGGCACTCCAAGAGCAGCATGCCACTCTCAAGACACTGAGCCACAGTGCCACCCCTACTAACTTCTTATGCCCTACCACAGTTTCCCTTTAGATAAAACTTCTCTAAAATGATACCATGGGCACTCGCAGGGAGACTATTCCTCGAGTCCTGCCCCGTGTTGCTTCCCTTTAAAAAAAATAAAAACAGAAACCTTTACCTACTTCATGTATGTAACGGGAATTTGGTTTCGGTTTTCATTCATCTGACTAGAAATCAATCCTTTCCTACGTCTATTTCTAAGGTCTACTGCTAGAGGTACGCCAGCTTCTTCTATTGCGGTGTTTCGTTTGGACTTTAGGAAGCTGAGAATTAACTTTGAATCTTATGTGGTGCAGGTCTCTTTTCTTACGTTTTTCAACAGCCTTATAGTCTTCCCTTTGGATGCTGTCTTAGTCCTGCTGTGAAGAAACGCCATGTCCAAGGCAACGCTTATAGAAAAAAAAAAGGCATTTAACTGCTTACAACTTCAGAGGGTGTCTCAGTCAGGGATAAAACAACATGACCAAAGCAACCCTGGAAAAGGGTTAATTTCACTTACATTTCCTTCCAGGTAACAGTTCATCCCCGATGGAAGTCAGGGCAGGAAGTCACACAGGGCAGGAACCCTGAGGCAGGCGCTGATGCAGAGGCCATGGAGGGTGCTGCTTACTGGTCTGCTCTCCACGGCTTGCTCAGTCTGCCTTCTTCAGCACCCAGGATCACCGGGCCAGGGATGGTCCCACCCACAATGGGCTGGGCCCTCCGATATCAGTCACTAATTAAGAAAATGCCCTACAGGCTTGCCTACAACCGGATCTTATAGAGGGGTTTTTCATCTGCGGTTTCCTTTCAGATGATGTAGCCTGTGTCAAGCTGACACAAAGTCAGCCAGTACTGAGGTTTAGTCCATTATCATCATGGCAGGGCCATGGCGGTACTCAAGGGTACCCGGAGCAGTAGCTGAGAGCTATATTCTGAACCAAGGACAGAGAGGTGGAAAGGGAGAGAGGGAGAGGAGAGGGGGAGAGAGGGGGAGAGAGAAGGAGGGAAGAGAGAGGGAAGGGAGAGAGGGGGAGGGAAGAGAGAGGGAGAGAGGAGGGGGAGAGAGAGGGGGAGAGAGAAGGAGGGAAAAGAGAGGGAGGGGAGAGAGGGAAGGGAGAGAGGAGAGGAGGAGAAAGAGGAGGGGGAGAGAGAAAGACAGGGAGGGAGGAAGGGAGGGACGGAGGGAGGGAGCAAGCGCATCTGGGCCTGACATGGCCTCTGAAACCTGAACGCTCACTCCAGCGACACACTTCCTCCAACAAGTCCACACCTGTAGGAGCCTATGGAAGCCATTCTTACAAAAACCACCACAGGTGCCACGCATGGAAACTCTTCCTTCCCTAGAAACACTTCAAGGTTCCTCTAAGCCCACCTTACCTCTCCCGTGTTAGCATTTAATCCACCCAGAACAGTGTGTTAGTATGACACAGGTGTCTGACATCATGTGTTGTGGTATGTAGCATGCCACAGATGTCTGACATCATGTGTTATGGTATGTAGCATGCCACAGACGTCTGACATCATGTGTTATGATATATAGCATGGCACAGACGTCTGACATCATGTGTTTTGGTATGTAGCATGGCACAGACGTCTGACATCATGTGTTTTGGTACGTAGCATGGTCCAGACGTCTGACATCATGTGTTACGGTATGTAGCATGCCACAGACGTCTGACATCATGTGTTTTGGTACGTAGCATGGCACAGACGTCTGAATCATGTGTTAGGTATGTCTCCCACCATCCTCCCTGGATTTCCCACTGCACTGCAGTACATGTTCTGAGCGTGTGCCTTCCTGCTGACTGCAAGGCTGAATGTCCTGTGGGGAACTCACGGCTGAGCTGAGCACCAGGGCAAGAGAAGAACAGTCGCCTTCCTGTTCCTAACGCAGCATCCAGGATCAGCTGCGTCCTCAAACGTTTCCGCTGTCTTATTTTTGAGGGTCTTATGTAGTCCAGGCTGGCCTCAAACTCTCTAAGTAGCAGAAAATGGCCTTGAACTCCTGCTCCTCCTTTTCCACCGCCCAGCACTGGATACAGGTGTGAGCCACTACACGTGGCCCCTGCTTTTGAAGGTTAAAGGGAAATACACCCTACAGAATGACGCGTGACCTGCAGGCCCAGCATGCCCGCCGCTACAGTGGCCAACAGGACCCCTCTCAAAGTGCCTTCTGGGTAGCCGTTTTTTATACTTGTAAATCTAAATGGCTATGGAAAGCTCTTGATTACCAGTGAGATAGCTGGGTTACTCACGTGCAGAACTACTAGTTTAGATACAACCACAGAAAATGACTCTTCAACATAAACCGAAAACTGTTTTATGTACCTTCTGCAAACTTACAGGACAAACAATGTAACACTTACGCGGTCATGGAATTTCAACACCAACAGACGGGAAAAGAAGGCGGAACTTTCCCTGCTCTAGAGGACCCTCCTGGTGAGAGACTGGAGCAAGAAGCTAAGTCACAGTCTCCCCCTCCAGCCCGTCTGTCAGTGTTCCCCAGATTCCGTGGCCTCTACTTGGCAATAGCTAGTGCAGGACCCAGGCGAGACAAGCTCCACAGAGGCCTGAGTCTCAGTAGTTTACCACGAGAAAGACCATGAACGGAGATCACCCAGGCACCACCCCGGAACAGACCATCCAAAGGAATCCCTAACGTTCCAGTCACTGTAGACAGAATCACCTGCCAGCACACACCCATCGCCTCTCACCAGGACACCCCCAGACAAATGTCAGCCAATCAGAATTGAACCCATCACCCCACCCCCTGCTAATGTAACCTTTCTGGTTTTGTCTTTAAATAATGCCCCCCAGAAGGGCTGGGTACCTCCTCTTGCTGCTGCTGCGCTGACGGAGGTCCCTGCGGCTTGTAATGCGCACACAAAAACCCTTGCTTTTGCATTTCCGTGAGTCTGTCTCCCTGGTGGCCTTTTGGGGTCCCCATGGACTGGGCATAATATTAGCACATCCGTGACTAAGACTTTTAAAGAAGACTGCAATTGCTGTCGCGGGCACTGCTGGCTGCTGCTGAGTGCCACCACTGCAGCTTTTCCAGAGTAACGGTCAGGGCTGTGCTCCTCGAACAACAGGCTCATGCATCTCTCCCGCTTCCTGTTTCCATGGCCCCACATCCTAAGGTTCCATTCCTATCTTCGCCTGGAAGATGAGCTCTTAGTCATTTACAGCTGAACCGGAAACAACTCAGCCATCTTCGTCTTCAGAAAAAGGTGGTCCACCAGTTCTGCGACTGTTCCTCTCACTGCCGTTAACATGTTTATCACTAGCGACCGAATTATTTAACCGTAGTAATGGTAAAAGTAAGGTCAAAGGCTGCGGGTCTCCAAGTGGCTACAACAGCCCATGAGTCCCAGGCAGGGAGCCGCACGGTGGGTGAGAGATCTCAATGGGGCAGCCAGTCCCACGAGGAGAGACAGACAGATGGGCACGCCGTGAGACCACCGCAGGTCTC